TTTTTTTTTCTTTCTGGGGAACCGACTGAAGTAAATTCACCGTCTCAAACTAAACTAGTTCAGATTCTTGGTGTCTCGACACAAGTTTGCGAAGGGTCATACACACGATCAGTCCTAGGCATTTGTTGCTCTTGCAGTTATATCATATCATATGTAATAATGGAAAATTTTGAAGAGCTTGCGTAAAATATACGAGGAGCAATTTTTTCTGGTAAGGGTTTCCTGATGCAGATTGTGGCCATATAAACATCCCTTGTTAGCATAACATACACATAAGCTTACCCATTTACCTTAAAATCAGCAAATCTAACGCAATTTTGAAGCAGGCACAACACATATAACACAACCTTAACGGGCAAGAACAATATTAAATGAATTCCTTACCTCTAAAACTGGCTCACAAACCTTCTCACAAACAGTAAAGGTACAAATCACAAGCTTGCCCAAATCATCCACATTGGTTATAAAATCAGAAACACAGTTTCAGAAAAACAGAAAACATAATCAAAATCGTTAAGATTGGTCGAGGATAAACCTGGCACAAAACTGTAGGCGGACAAAATCATCTCACACGAATGAGAGCACCAAACAGAACCGCAGATAGACAACCGCACCGCAGAAGACGGGGAAAGGTCGCGAGGATGAAGGATTGATTAATGGAGTCGATTTTCGGGGTAAAAAAAGTATTTGACCGAGTCATATTTGTCCATAGACTAAAGAAAAATAAATTGTTCGTTTAGTTCGGCTGGTTAAGGTTCGAGCTTGAATTGACTCGTAAATATAAAATTTTATATAATTTTTGAAAGTTTTTTTTCGTCAAAATTCAATTTTGACTCGTTAAGGCTTGATTATTTTCGTCGTTTGTAGTCAAGTTCGTTTATCTATTTATTTCGTCAATGAGCCACATTCGAAACGAATATAAGAAATTCAAACTTTGTTCTACTCATTTACAAATTACCCCCTTCTGGTCGTGCCTTTATAAATGTATTTAAAATGAGAAACCATATATAGTTACTAGTTAGTATATTATGCAACATAATTTGTTTTTACTATTTAAAAATATGTAGAAATTAAATGTGAAATTTTATGAAAAATCATATCATACTTTATGTATTAATTAATGGAGTTCCCAAGCTTAAAATTATTTTTATTATGATTATTTTTCTCTGATTGTTCTAAATATATATATATAATTATTAGCAAACCAATTAATAAAACCTCAATTATTTTCACCTTAAAAAAGTTACAATTCCATTTTTCTTTTATATATATTCTATAAAGAGGGACAAAATATTAAATGATCCCACTCCCTTTTTAGGGCAATTAAGGTAAAAACCATTACCTTCATATTAATCAAATAATAATTACAGGTATTTTTAATTATTTTAATATTTAATAGTTTTTGTTGAAACTAACTAAGTGTACAAGTTAAAAAAAGTAAAAAATTGTATAGTAAATTTTTTTCTTCAATTTTTTAATTCTAAAATTAATATTTTTGGTTTTATTATCTCATTGGGTGGTTATTTTTTAAGTAAAATTGGTGTTAATGGTATAGCCAAAAAACCCCCCTTAAAATAGTAAATTTAATATATTTTTTTCAACTGATTAATTAGTCATGATCCTTCAAAATTATAAAAATTACATTATTTTACATTTTATTTAACCAATATAGTGTTTCATATGCAGCTAAATAGTTTTGTACGGTTTATTTTTACTAATGTTTAAAATTTTTAAATTATCTTATTATTATATAAGTTATAATCCTGGTGAAAAATGTAAGAAGAAAGTTTATATTCTTCACACACACACACACATTGGGTATTTTTGTCATTTCACAAAACAACAGACACCGTTCGAATCTGAAAATTTAACAAGGGTTTTTGTTCCAATTGGCTCTGGCACGAGAACAGAGAGCAAGAACAATCCTTGTTGGTTTGAGAACTGAAAATGTGGAACAGCAATGGAAATTCAATGATGAAAATGGCGACGATGGTGAGGCACTTCTCTTCAAGCTCAAGAAAGCGCGCCCCAAATCTGAGGAAGATAAACCCTAGGGTACCATATCAAGAAGCAGCCTCCATCGCCGAAGATCTATATGGCGTCATAAAGAGCCATGGCCCTCTCTCCATCGGAAGCACTTGGAACCACGCCAAGGTACCGTTTTAACTCAATGGGTCTCCGATTTATGAGCTCCTGTAATTTTATTTATTTGTTTATTTTGGATTGTTACACGGGCTGATATGGAGAGAGGTGTGTGTGATCAATTCCAGAATATGGCTTCCATTTTAACCTCAAATTCGTTGGATTAGTTGTGGCGCAAGTGGGTTTTGGGAAATTTCAGTTGACACTTTACTTTGTGTTCTTGTCTTTTCGGTTTAGTAGGTTCAGGTTAGAAAATTGTATTCAATTGCACGTGGTGCTGATAATGAGGAAATTTGGTTGTCGTGTCAAGAACTGAGTTAATGAAGCAAGCCTCAAACTCTTGCCGTCTAATGGTCTAAAAGGGCCGGTTCTGTGCTGTTAATATGAAGCGTTCTGACGATGAGAATTGAAAACTGGTTTACCTATTGCTAATCTGTAGTAGCTGATCGTTTTACTGTCAACTATTTCATATTGTGATTGCCTGCCAGCTTCGTGTGTGTCACCTCAGATTTGTTGATAATTTGAGATGCTGGTTGTTATACTTAGGTGTGCGTGGTATCTTTGTTGATTGATATGTTATGTTAAGATTTGTTATCGAGTATGATGAGATCTAAGAATCTCTAGAATTCGCTGGTTTTAGTATGACTAGATTGGTATACTGTCCAAGAAAGAGAGGAAAATTTTGAAATTTGAAGGTCACTTGTTAGTTAGTCTAGTAAATTAGAGAGTTCAGGAGATCTATCATTTTATTTGCACGAGCTACCTGGGCTAGGGGCAGCAAGAAAATTATCATGAACTTTTTGTTTGTGTACTCAGTACTACATTTTTGTATTGGTCTGTGTATTTAATTTGTTACCCGTTGAATTTAAACAAGACAATGAAAGGGCAGTTAGACAAAGAAAGAAAATACAGAGCCTGATGGAAGAGAACAGAAAAGAACAACATACCCCGTATATTTCCAGCTGGTTGGGGTCTGGGGAGTCAGTTGTACGCAGACTTTACCCTTGTAATTATACAAGGAGGCTGTTTCCGTAGCGACCCAAGGTGCATTGCGTCGTTTGATATATTTTTTCTTGAAACTTCACTAATAGAAGAAGCACTAGAATTTAATTGAGCCATTTTGATCTAGTCCATTATTAGCACTATGCCAGGAGAATTGTCAACAATGACTCTTCCAGCTCCATTTGCAATGGACAAAAGAGAACAGAAAAGAACAAAGAGAAAAAAAAAAAGAAAAGAAAAAAGAAAAAAAAGAAAGATACCTTTACAAGAGAGAGTAATCTGAGAGGCAGGAGATGGTGGTCACTGGGTTTTTGGGTAGTTTTGAACTCAATCTGAAGTTGGTCAAAGGTAGTTTTGATCTAATTTAGATTTATCCCTCGCCCCGAATTTGTTTTAGTTCTCAAGTTAATTAAGTGATATAAGACATATTTTTCACTGTCACGTAGCTTTAACACTTTATGTAAATTGTCAGTAAATAACCGTTAAAATTTATTTTGTTGGCCTGCAGACATTTTTCGTATCACCAATGCCGCCCGTTCTAAGTCGGCTTTTTTAACAGCTATGTTTGAAGGAAACTAGTTATGAAATCTAAAACAACAACTTTATGATGCATTCTTCGGAAATGTTTTTAGTCGTTTGAAGTTAAATAAAAGGATTGAGTTCAAATTTGAGGCTGCAAGAGCTTGAGGGGTGGTTGTGGTAAATTCTGATTATATACTCCCAATTGATTGCTCAAATTAAGTGCTCCCCTTTTGTACAACCTGTTGTATAACATCCCATAAATGCCTAGTTCTGATTTATAAATGCTTAATTCCATGTATAGCTTGTGGGCTTCGGATTGTAAATTATGCCACTTTGTGTTTCTCATGTCTAAACTTTTTAGCATCACAACAGCATTGTCAATCATGTCCAGTGTGTCAAATATACAAACTGCTGATGTATAAGTATAACCGCACTTTGACGGAATTTATTGAAGTGTGAACCTTAATGAAAATTTTTAGCAGTTCCATATAATCACAGGATACCCAATATGTTGATCCACCTAATATTCTTTTTGTCTTTAGTAAAAATCAAATTTTCATTATAATTCATCGATTTACTTTTTCTTTTTCGCCTAGTATTCTGTGCCATCGTCATGAAATATACTTCTGATTAATAATAATACTGCAGGATGCTGGAATAGGTGGATTAAACAGCAAAACGCACCTAAAATTGATGCTGAAGTGGATGAGGGGTCGACGTATGCTGAAGCAAATCTGCAACCATATTGGCTCAACCAAGAAATTTCTGCTCACTACTCTTCCTGAAGAACCTCAATCAAGCCAGCCAAACAACCCCCAGGAACTGAAGCCGAAGAGCGAAAAAGTTCCAAAGTCGAACAAACGGCAAGCACAATAATGTCTTAACTCCATTGTTGTTGAATGAAACATTTAAGGTTGTTTTGAGCATGGGAATTTGCAGATCAGGCTATAGTTGATGTGCTTTTCTTCGATTTGTGGATGTATGCAGTGAGGGCTTCAGCCTCTATGTACTGCTTAGATAGAGTTGTTTTATCGAAAGGAGAAAGTAATTTGCTCTGTGGCCACAGTTTCTGACGGAAGGCCATTGCGACAGCAAGCTTACAATCCGTTTGATGAGTAGATGTTCAGTGTCCCATATGCATTATCAAGTTTAATGAATAAGCCTAAGCATTTTCGAAAAAAGAAAAAAGAATAAGCCTAAGCATTAGACGGGTTGAACTATCATATCTTTTTAGCAAAATGTACGGGGTCTGAGGGGCTGGTATGGCAAACTTACAGCAGCCCCAACAGTTAATTGGAGACCCTTAGATTAAATACAATTAAAATGCATCCAAGGGTTAAAAATAAGAACAAACTTTTAGTTGCTCGACTCTCCAATCGTGAATATGCATCATGAATTTGAGACTGCATAATTACAACAAAAACTTACCTGCAGAAGTACATGGCGCAATGATCAGATAGTCAAACAGATGCTAATTTACACAACTAGCATGCAAACACTACTGTCACATGGAACAAAACCAGGAAATGGAATATGTTCTTAAAGGTTTAACTTTTAATTTAATTTTACAATGGAATACCAAAGCACAAAAAAGTTACCGTGACTGCAAACCAAGCTTGTCCGTGCATGGAAACTTATTAAACAAGTACAAAAACAGTTAAAAATATCACACCACTTGACTACTGGAGATGAGCATTACCCATAAATAGCTTGAACATCCTCTTCAAGTAAATGTTCGGTTAAGGTACGTAGAAGATATCCAACTTCCTGAACCAATAAGTGAATACAGTGAGATGCATCAATGTAAAGGTAATTTTATTTGTTATTTTTTAAGAAAACACAACCAGTTTCGAATACGATCAAATGACAATGTATATGTACCTTGGTAAGTGACCGAGCAAACTGACTAGGTTGTAAATCGTTATCCTCTGACCTATTCCAACCCTCAACAATTTAAGGCAAGCTTCTTAGGTGAACCAACAATCGTTCTCTCATTATCTGAATCAGCTGGGAATGAATCCCATCCCCGTGATTTTTGTAATCCTTAAGTCACGAATTAACACCAAGTAATGTCATAAATCTACCAAGTAGCTATATGTTTCTTATAATTTTTCCAGCATATAAGCATTGTGGATTTATAAGTTAGCATGTGTAAGTAGCTTTTTAGAAAGCTGTATGAAGCCACTTCCTAACTCATCATAGAATTTGAGCAATCTTTCTCTACTCTTTTCCTATTTTCTTGGTCCCCCCCTATACTTTCAATTTGTTACAGGATTTTGAGACTATGTCATGTTGTTGAACTATTGAGTTCCGTAGTTTAACTCGAAAACATGAGCAGCAACAGTGCCAACAAAAGCGAAGGGGCGGTGGAGGGAGATGCTGAGGCTAAAAACTCTTTCTGTTCTGCATCTTTACACCTCATACATGATACTAAATAAAAAAACAATTAGCATTATTTGATTCAATTTTTTTTTTTTTTTTTTTTTTTTTTTTTTTTCTGTATGAGCATTTCTAGATATCCTTTCCCTAATTATAGTTACTTATCAGTCTCAACTTCCACTCTAGATCATACAAAGAGTGTAAAATACACCAAAAGGAAAGCCATTATACAATTTTTGTTAAGTATTGTAGTTAAAGTAGAAACCTTCAATAACTCTTTTTGTAGAATCATGGTTAAGCATCTGAAATATCCATGTAAATCTTAGGGAAAAAAACACGTCTGATTGCAGATAACAATATGCGAAAAACCGATGCGAGTTATTGACAACTAGAGAAACAACAAATTTCCATTTCAAAAGTTTACATTAGTAACTTTATACAATTCAAACCCCCAAAAAAGTGTATCTCTTATGTGCAAAAGGATGTAAGAATAAATGTTTGGACATGAACTGGCTTCAAAACAGAATTCTTCTTCGCCTGGAAACATCTCTTGAAATGGATAATGAAGAGACCAACATGAACAGCAAAATGAGCGTCTTAGCATGCGTTGAACGGCCATGACTTTTGATAAAGAAGAAGAACTAATTTTTGTTTCCGGTGAAGCTCCTGGCCAGGATGAGGAAATCGACGAGCTTGACGAGGAGGGGAATATCGTGGAGGCGAGGCGGCCGACGACGGTGAGGGAGCGGGGGCGGCGGAGGGCGATGCTGAGGTGAACGAGAGAGCCGACGATTTTTCGATAAGTTTAAGCAGAGCTAATAAAAGCTTCCAAGTTTGGACTCAAAAGCCGTTGTTACAGCTAAAAATTGTTCCTATTTTTAACCCTTGGATGCATTTTAATTGTATTTAATCCAAGGGTCTCCAATTAACTGTTAGCAGCCCCGGACCCAAATGTACGAGTATCCTTCAAAATGTCTATTTTTGTTTATTCTATTTTTAAAAGTATGATATTCAGTTTGAGTATGGTCGAAAAAGTATGATTGTCTAATTAACGTCATCTCCAGCCCTTATCTCTACTCTAGCGCAGACTTCATCTCCAGCCCTTATCTTTACATTTTACTCTACATTAAATATATTATTTTTTATTCATTTTTTATATCAAATAAATTGGTATATATGTATATTTAATCTTATATAAAATGTTAATTACTCAAACAATAAAAATATATTTTATTTATTTTTATTTCAAATAATTTGCTATATATATGAATATCTAATATTATATAAATGTTTATTACCCAAATAGCAGCAGGAGCCTTATTTTCATGTCCCGACTTCGAGAACCCTGTCGGCCCACGTTAAGCGAGCCGAGCATTAGCGAAAATGCATTCTAGAAAGCACGAGAATAGGAGAAACCATTTGTGGTGTTTATTTATTATTTCGAGGCCCCGAGCATTGATATTGAGAAGCTCGAGTTGAGGGTATTATTAGTAAAATAATTTTTTTTTAAAAAAATTCGTTTACGTGGGTCCCGCAGGGTCGCGTGTGACTTCGATTTACCGAGAATTGAGTTGAGACGTGTAGATTATTCAGGCACGATGTCATGCGGGACATTTATTGAGTATTTTGGAGCTCCGAGCATTTAATTAGAGAAGCTTGAGTTCACAGGGTGAATAGTAGAAAAATGTATTGTGTTAAATTTTTATTCATATGGTATCATTTAAATATTAAAAAAAATTGCAAAATAAAATTATAACACATCAATAAACAAAAACACAAATTATTTAGCATAAAAAATACATTACACAAATTATTTAGCATAAAAAAATACATTTATTAATACACATTATACAAAAATTTATCAATAACAATGCAAAAAAAATAAATAAATAAAAAATAAAAAAATTGTAGAGTTATCTACAGTGCATCGCTACATCCAGCGATGAACTGTTCACAACTTTGAAGTAACGCCAAAATCCAGCGCAGCACTGGAGTAAATTTGGACACTACTCCAGCGATAAATCAAATTGTGGCGATGCACTGGAGCTGGTCTAAGCATGCCTAACAATAGTTTGAGTAACTTAATATTTTCAAATTTAGACCAAACTAGTACAGCACCCGTGTAACACGGGTACTTGTTAAAAAATTATTCTTAAATTTTAAAATTAATGAGAGAAATTATATTAAATTTTATTTACTTTTTTATAAAAATATATATTTTAGAATGACACTTGCTACTTGTGCAACTCACATTGTTATATTATAGTAATTTTTATAACTTATGTCATATAACTATACTTGAACTATAAATAGATCAATTGATAAATAATTCTAATTTTCTAATTAATTGTTGAAACAATTATATTATTGTTATAAAGATAAATATAATTGAGATTTTTTATACATACAATATGGATGTTAAATTGAAGTTCAACAAGAGATGATTAATTTGATATATTATATATATAAAATTGGTAAAAAAATATTGACTTTTAAAACATATTTACAATTCAATGGTTATAATAAAAAATGATATTAAAATGCAATTAATACATGTAGCATGACCATAATAATCAACATATTTATGAATAGTCCGAACCTAATTTTTTTTGGGTTGAAGTAAATTAAAATCAACTCAAGTCTAATAACAAAACATGTAATTTTGCCATATTATTTTCCCAAGCATGCCAACCTATCACTTAGGCTCTAAGAGCACCCACAATGCTTTGGGTTTCTTAGAAAAAAGTTACATGCCATGTAAGAAATAGACCTAGTCTATAAAAAAGTGTTCTCCAATGCAATTAAAAGTGGACCTAGTCTAGCTTATGTGGCAATAAAAAAATGAGACCTAGTCCACACTTGGGTCTATTTTAGACCCAAGTACAAACCCAAGCACTAATCATTTATTCCTCATTTAATTTTTCTTTTAATAAATAAAATATACTAGAGCATTTTTATTGGTTGTCATGTATTCTAGACCTAGTACTTTTTTGTTTTGCATTGGATAGATTTTGGTTTTTTTAGTTTAAGTTTGTCCATGTCATTATGGACTTAAGTCTATTTATTTGCCACATATGCAAAAAGAGACCCAAAGCATTGTGGATGCTCTAACGGGTTTTGAATTATATATAAAATATTATACATTGAGGATTATATTATTATTATTATTTTTATTTCTAAATAGTCCATATTTTGACTGGAATTATATTATCTGAGACTGAGCTCACTGCATACGCAGATGCTGAGATCCCACCAGTCTCAGTCGTATGGCAAACAGTGTTGTGTGATTATATAAGCTCGGGGATCAGCCATGGACGATACCCAGTAGAAATCAAGAGCTTCTTCATCCAACATTTTCTTCTAATTGGCCATTGCTCGGTGAATTAATTAAAAATCTCTTCTTACATCAGCTTAATGCCTGCGAAATGAAATCTCGTAGCTATGGATACAATGTTTATTTTTTTTATTTATTTTGTTTTTATCCCCTGTTTTTGAGCAGTGAAAACAAACCCCAAAAAATATGGATGCTGCAAACGGGAATTGCATTGGGTGGGCCGCTAGGGATCCTTCTGGGCATCTCTCGCCTTACAAGTTCAACCGCAGGTCTCCAGATCTGATCACGATTCTTGATTTTTTAATTTATTATCTTTTTTAGGTGATTTATTGTTTTAGCAAAAACCCACGTTTGTATTGAGAATTTATGGCGCAGGTCTGTAGGTACTGATGATGTCTCAATAACCATTGTGTACTGTGGAGTTTGTTATGCCGACGTTGCTTGGACGAGGAACAAACTTGGGCACTCCAAGTATCCTCTTGTGCCAGGGTATATGTCAATTTTATAATGATGCCCCCTTTTCGATTTGTTGTGTATGAAAATTGTATAGCTGCACAAGGTTGTACGCCTTTATGGTTCGGTTTTGTCTGATAGGCATGAGATTGTGGGGATCGTGAGGGAAGTGGGGCCAAAAGTTAGCGGGTTTAAGGTCGGAGAATATGTTGGGGTCGGAACTTACGTTAACTCTTGCCGGGAGTGCGAGTATTGCGAAGATGAATTAGAAGTCTACTGCTCTAAAGGCCCAGTCTTTACTTTCGACAGTGTGGATTTCGATGGCACCATCACCAAGGGAGGGTATTCGAGTCACATTGTGGTTCATCAAAGGTTTCGTCGTGACCTTTTGGGTAGTATCGATTTATTCGTTCGTGAATTGTTGATTTTAAAGAAAAATTTGGCGATTTTTCTACAGATACTGCTTTAAGATACCGGAAAACTACCCACCACAGCTTGCGGCCCCTTTGCTCTGTGCTGGAATTACGGTTTATGCCCCAATGGTGAAGCATTGTATGAATCAGCCCGGGAAGTCTTTAGGTGTTATCGGGCTTGGCGGGCTGGGCCACCTGGCCGTCAAGTTCGGGAAGGCTTTCGGGCTAAAGGTTACGGTTTTCAGCACCAGCTTATCCAAGAAAGATGAGGCTCTCAATCTCCTGGGGGCGGACGATTTCGTAATTTCCAGTGACGACGAGCAGATGAAGGTAAATAAAAAGTTTTGTTTTTTTTTTTCACCGGTTTTCTGCGAAGTTGTGTGGTTAGTTTTAAGAAATTTCACTGTGTCTTGATCCAGGCATTGAATAAGTCTCTCGATTTCATTATAAATACGGCGTCAGGGGACGTCTCGTTCGACTCGTTCCTGTCGCTGTTGAAGACAGATGGTGTGCTCGCATTGGTTGGGTTCCCAAGTGAAGTGAAATTTAGCCCTGGGAATCTCTTAATGGGTACGTATGATCGTGGGTTTGATCAATGTGGGGAAAAAAATGTGAACTGTTTTGTTTATTATCATTCTTAGTATTATATTTCTGGTCTTAAGTTGAGCTCGACTTCTTGTAGGTGCAAAAACTATTACTGGAAGTATAACGGGCGGGACAAAGCAAACGCGAGAGATGTTGGACTTTTGTGCGGCTCACAAAATTTACCCTGAAATCGAAGTAATTCCGATTGATTATTCGAACGAGGCACTCGAGAGGATGATAAAGAGGGATGTGAAGTACCGGTTCGTGATCGATATTGCGAATTCCCTCAACCAAAACTGAGAGAATTTTTTCGTTTGGTATTTTGCCTTTTTTCGCATTCTAGTAACTGATTCTTTAGCTACTGGATGTTCTTGGCACTCTTTAGCTCAATATATGAAGAATTATGTTATGTTTGGCTTTGTGTTTTTGCCCGAATAATGTATGTAGCTTTGTGTTTTCATGTTTAAACATTTGGAGCTTTGATTAAAGTCTATTTATATTGGAAGTATTAATTGATATGATTTTTAGAAAAAAAAAAAAAAAAAAAAAAAAAAAAAAAAAATGATTAATTTTGTGTGTGCAAAATGCTAAGATTGATGAATAAAATAGCATGGTAACATATTTTTTTTTAAAACAATTATACAAATCAACCTCCCGCTAATCATTTTTTTTTTTTAAAAAAGTCATCGGGCCAATATTTTTCAAGTAAACGACCGGAGATGACAAACAAGAATATTTGTGGATTCGTTTGAGTTTCTTTTTTGTTTGTTTATTTCTTCATTTTAAAGATTCGTTTTATTCTTACTTCTTGCTCTTGGATTTTGACACAAGTCGCCATTTTTATTTGAGGCTGATGGTTTATGGTACATGTTGGAAAGAGCCTTCACGAGGCCTTCAAGACAACACGCACACAGTCGAAAGAAGCAAATGTTCAAATTACTTAACCAAATAAAAAAAAAAAAAATCGTAGTCTTGATCAAGATAAAAAAAAAAAACTGCTGAAGGGAAAGCACACCAGCTCAAAATAAAGTTAGCAAACAGTTCCTGTATTTGGGCAGTCAACCCGTCCAACTTTCCCGCACTACCCTATTCGGCTCTTGGCACCAAACTCGAATATCTGCTCAAGAGTTTAAAAGAGAACAAAAGAAAAGAAAAGCAAAAAAAAGAAAAAAAAAAAACATGTAGTGGCTGCTATAAAATCAACGATGTGAAACCCACTGCTTCAAGTCATTCCTGAGGATTTGCCCGAACCCAAATTTACCATAGTCCACAGAGAAAAGCTCAGGCCCACGAGTCACATACTGCCGATACTGGGTATTCTGTCCAGTGGGGCCCATGGGCCTCATCATCATGGAAATCGTGGGAAGAGATTTTGGCCACATATTACGTGTGGCTGTAAAGAGATGCCTGTCAGATTCTCTACCGGAACTCCTCGAGCTGGGCTTGGGGAAGCTGCCTCCTTGATTGTTCAGGTGCTGCGAAGGGCCCGATTGCAGCTGAGTCATGTTTGTATTTGATTGTGGGCCCGATGGAGTTGGGCCTCTGATCTGTGCTTCGGGCTTCATTTTGTCAAGCCAGCGGAGAATCCGGTTCCCCAGGTTCCGACCGACTTCGATGTCCCTCTCTTGCACCTTGAGATGAACTTTGAGTGCTATGTCAAATACACTCCGAGTCCTTCTGAAATGGAAAAATAAATAGTGTAAGCATTAGGTGTACTGGAATTTCTGTTGGCTGATTATGACGCGGGACAGAGTCACAGAAGTACAAAAGGGCGTAGTAAAAAATTAAATCTGAGCATATTGTAACTGCGTAAGATACAATTGGCTAATTTGGAAATTAGTGAGCAAGGATGGTCCAGATAGTAACTCGACATGCAAATTGACACACAAAAAATTATTTGTCCTGCAACCTCCTTAACTTCTTCTATGAATACTTACATTCGTTTTTATTTTGCAGATTGGTGAACTATCTGTCAAAGAACAATGTGACTTCAATATCAGCATAAGATTCAGATATCATCTGATATAGCATCATATTGGGGGATCTTTTACTATAAGAGAATAAAAAAGAAATATAAATTGATGAGAGCCGAAAGAAACAGGAAAGAACAAAAATTCTTTCAGGATTAGGGTGATCCAGTACAAGAAAGTCTTGTTTCATACCATTAAAGGCAAATTTTCTCAAAGTTATCAACAAATACCATGATTACTCATTCTTACTTTTCCTCTCCCCAATCTCGTCAACACACTTGTAAATAAAACCCAATCTAATTATCCAAGTAACCGGATGGAAGAGCTCCACAATTATTCGCTGCATAATTACATCAGTAAACTCTATTGTATGTTCTTTAAAAAAGGCGTTAACAACCATCAGTTCCTCTCACACACAATACGACCAAGAAAAATCTAGCATATTCATCGATTGTTGCATTATACATGGGATCACAGCACATGAATGATATAAAGGGTAATAATTTGTGTTGCACTTGCACATAAGAATGATGATTTTTACTTCTTAATTTCATGGAGGGCAGAATACTTTCAGCTGATCAATAATAAATGTGATGATATTGAAACATTACATATAACTTGGATACAAAAGCATGAGCAAAATCAGAGAGAATAATTTCATGCAAATACAGTTACATTCCAAGATGAGCAATTTCATAATAATTATTCGTTGTAAATCAAAATCAGCTTAAACTGCAAGGTCTATCTTCAATAAACCATTTGTCATTAAGTATTAATGAGTCCAAACATGCACACGTTGCTCTATCACCTTCAATTTCTGATACAAAGAAAAATCATGCGATTTTTCTTCTTCCCAAAGCATACTAATAGTCCGTTGACTCCGTTCCATTAAGTTCATATCAGTTTACTTTTGTCTATCTCTGCAGGGGATCAGGGTTTGAGAGTAGTAAATTGTAGCCAGATTGTTAAACAGACTTATGGTTTTACATCAGCAACCAATCCACAAAATAAGCTAAGCTATGTTGTCTAACAATAAATGATACCAAAAATCATAAACTGAATTAGCAGAACGCAAATGACGTCCATCGTGTCTAGAAAAGCACATGCATTAGTGCATACAAATTCCCATCGAAAGCTCGCCAATAACTCAAGGACTACAAAATAATAATCTACAACAGAAGAAGCAGATGAATGCCACGAAAATCCGAAATGTAAGTGGGAAAAAGAACTGACAGTTTGCAAAGAAAAAGAACCATGCTTTTTCCTCTTTACAAATCCTCGGAACATAACATGTTCCTCACATCATTCATCAATGTGTATACCTAATAACTAACCGAACTCTATGAATCAAGCCCTAGAGGACATATTCTCAGACCAAGATACTAACTTTGTACATAAATCATACACAAAATTATAAGCCAATATCATAAATCCAGCCAAACATTTTACCAGATAATCGCAGCAAGAGAACTGAAACGCTGACAACACCGATGAGAACATAAAAATTGAAAATACTAAAGAAATATACACTGAACAAATCAAAATCAACCACATTAAGAACAGATAGACGACAACACCTCTGAACAAATTGGCGAATCTTGGGATGCTTGGGGCTGATGAGCTTCCGCTGAAGTTTGAGAGCGAGTTTGTACGTTCGTTTCAGACCCAAAAAATACGCAGTTCCCAATGTGATCTCCCACAGAACCATTTTTCTCTCGATTCAAATGGCGAACGAAGGAAGTATTTTGTGATCGATCAGCAATTTCAGAAACAATTTGAAGAAGTTCTTTTCGTTTTGGGCAAGTAATTTGAAGATGGCTCGAGAAATTTCGCTTCAAAAATTCGCCCTTTTGGTCTTGAAGGTGACTTGTGAGGTTGGTCACAGACTTTATACAAATTGTATAATACAATTAGTGCGTAGGCGATGCACGAGTAAATAATACTCCCTTCTATTTTATTATTTGTTATCCTGACTTAATTGATCATTGATTAAATAAATATCGTTTTGACTATTTTGTTCATATTTTTCTATTTTTAACCCTTCATTTAATACACAGTCTCTTCATATCTCATCTCCGTTGTTTCCCATAACATCCATTAAATAGGATTTATATTGGCAAAAAAAAAATTCTTAATTAGCGTGTTGCTTCTCAAAATAACAAATAACAAAAATAAGAGAGAGTATTAAATTATAATTATAAATTAAAAATAATGGTAAATAATATTAACTCATAATTACAATTCAAATATGAGGGTATAAAATATTAAGTAATAATTATAAATTAAGATGTGGAGTTAATATGTGACATTATTTATTGTATATCAGTTGTAGACAATATAAAAATATCTTGTATAAAATAACATAAAAAATAAAAATGTATGTTTAAAATATTATATAACTTATGTAAAGTATCTAAAATTTTGTATATTATTATTGAAAGATGTGAAGTAATCTACAATTTGTTTAAATTATTTTTTAAAGAATATGTCTAAAACTATTTAAAAAATTATTGCCTACAATATTATACAATTTCCAAAAGATGATGATAAGTATAAATTTGAATTTTAGAATCCACTTCAGTATTAGTTATGAGATCCCTATACTATTCAAATTACTAATTATGTTCATTTCACGTGAACTTCAAATTGATTTAATGATTTTATTTTCATACAAAGCCGATAGTTTTTTTTTTGTTATACCATATTTTCGTAGAGATTTAACAAAGACGATTGCATTTATAAAATGATTTGGATATGAACGTACAATTTATAGTGGAGTTTTCAAAATTGTGTACTATTAATAACAAATAATATATTATCATTAAATATTTTTTTTTATTTGAAATGCACAACCATTGAGACTGAGAATTTAAAAGTTATTTTACCTCATAAAACCAAGTTTAGAAAAACAATAGGCTGGTAAACAAAGAATTGATAAACATTACCAAGTTTATTATCAAATATTCCAAATAAATAAATTGTGGTGATTAGTGAAAAATGATATTTAAAGAATAACATTCAATATTTATTTTGAAAGACAAAAATATAAAGACCGATATTCTAAAACTTTTATTACATTTTGAATTGAGATTTTAATGTTGTTCGTTGTTTCTAAAAAAAATAAAAATGCACACTTAATAGATTTTAGCTAGAATTTTTAAATAATAAAATGAACTAAAACTCAAAATTTAAGGCAACATTTAATGTTGTATGATTTTGTAAAGATAAAAATAAAAAATAATAAAATTTACTATTTATGGATTGCATTAAATTCTTTTTTTGTTTAACTATTTTTATTAAATGATTATTCTTATAGAATATATATAGATACCGAGTGTTATAGCCGTACTTCTTAAAAAAATTATTTAAAATTAGATAATAATAAAAATTGTTTATATTTTTAAATATATTTTGAGTAGAGTTTCAAATAAGCTCGTTGAAATTTTTATATCATCTAATATTACCAAACACTTTTATCAAATAATCTAATTTCATAATTTGTAAGCTATAATTCTAAATTCACCTTGAAGAAATCTATAAACTAGCTTCTTGAATTTTTTACTAAAAAATTATAAAAAAGTTAAGTTGTGGAAAAAAAATACACAAACAAAATGAGAGTGCACCATAATAAAAAGCCCGTATTCAATGAATACGTTTTACCATTTTTTTAATTGTAAAACGTATTCATTGAATACGTTTTCTTTTGAAAAAAATTCTGAAAAAACGTATTTAAGGAATACG